TATGTATAAATCTTTGGATAAGGCGAAATATCATTGTCACTATCATTATTTGAATGGTTTGTACACAACATAATTGGTGTCAGACTAGGCTGAACAATGGCTCCAATTGGCATATGATTACAATCATTAAGTGGTTTCATTGGAAAAAAAAACTAGATTTCTCAGTTGTTTCATTGAGCACAGGAATTTGCTGAACAATAGTTTCATTTAAAAATGGAATAGTAACTATGGATTCAGTTGGCATCGGAACAGAGTCATCTATTTCTAAAATGGTATTTGTACATGAAATCTGTTTCAGTTTGAATTCTTTATATAGTTTATACAAGGGATCTGGGATGTCGTAGCCATTTTGAAAATAGAAATTAAAAATTGTAAACTGCTCATGAATCAAATAGGTATCCCATATCAAAGAACTATTGTCAAGGTTTATCAAATTATTATCTATTTTACATTCAGACATATTTCCAAGTTTATTAACTAATTCTACATCAAAATGAACTTCTTCTATTGCATATTCTGATCTTGTTATTTTAGTGTCAGTTTTGATTGGATGCAGACTTGATTCAAGCAGATCATTTGAGTGAAGTAGCTGTTGTATGGAATAGACAGAATTAGGCAAGTAAACTGAGTTTGGAACAACAGACGGATTGTATGGATAAATACCACATGATGGAAACCCTGAAATAATATTATCAGCTGTAAGAGCTTGATCCCAGGCTTTCTTAAAAAGCCCACAAAAAGTTGACTTGTCAATAGTAACTCCAGGATATTTATTCATTAACTCATGACATGTTTGATTATAATACGTTTTAACAGGATCAAATTCTGTGCAATCTAAAGGCTGGAGCCAATGCGAACAATGCGCTGGCATTCCCACACTAAAAATGTTATTTTCAATTGCAACAGACAATAACTCAACAAAGTTATGAGAATTGTGACCATCAACTATGAGAATTTGTGACCTATCTCTACCTATATTAGGCAAGAAAGTATTAGTGAACCAAAGAAATGCAATTTCTTGCTTTGTCCAACTTATTTCACTAAAACGTTTTACCATTTACTATCAAATGCGGAGGTACTAAACCACCTGCAGCATTTACAACAGCAATAACGGTTATGGTTTCACGTTTTTCAGATGTGCACGATTGAAGATGTTTTGTATCTTTTTTTGCAATTATTTTATGAGGTTTAAAATCCATATGCAGCCCAGGTTCATCCATGTTCCAAATTAATAAAGGCTTTAAAAGGGCACAAGTGTAACTCAAAACTTCATGCAACGAATAGAAATATTTAGCAACTTTCGTTATAGACATGCATTGATGTCGAACTGATGAAGTACCTTCAGGCTTTCGCAAAACTAAATTTTTATGTCACTGATTAAATAAAAGCCACCATTTTTCTGAAGGACTTGAATGTTTAAACTTTAAATTGTGCTTTGTGGTTAAATCTGAAGCCTATTTTTTAAATTGTCTTTTTCCAAACCCAAATCCAAGTGCAGCTCTTGTTGAGGTATATTCAACTAGCTTTAGCTCTAAATTTATTGATAATATTGGACTAGGTCCGGGTTTAATATATATAATAAACTGAATTGCCTTTAAGATATTTACAAAGGGTTGACCGAGAAATACCAAACTGTGTTGCAGCTTCTCTTTGCGACATTAAACTATTTTGAACAGCTGCAATTGCATTTTCCATGTCGCTGTTGGACCACTGAAATCTTTTTACATTTGTCACTTTCTGATTCAAATTTGAATTAAAACTAGAGCCAGTTTTCTTTTTAATTGTTTTTTTCTTTTTTGTGATTTTCATAGTTTTTCCCATAATTACTCAAATTAACTAAAAGATAGAGTATAATCGCTACAATAGTTGACCTTAAAAAAATCAAATGTAAATATATTATCATTGTTATGATAATATATTTTGATTATATATTTTATAAGGTTAAATACAGATACCACAAACAAAATACATATACAAGCATAAAGTATGCTTATCATACATATATATACATCAATGTAACAGAAATAGCATACATAAGTACAATGGTTAACATAACATAATACTTATAATACATAATACTTAGTGAGCATTCAATTAAATATACAAAAAATATATTTATTAAATTGTTATGTAGCTAGTAAATATTAATAATAATAATTTTTGTTTGTATATGTATTATATAAATTATAAAATACAAACCATTACTTTAAATTTTTACAAATATTATAAAAAATAAAATTACATGCTTACAAACATAATAAACCGTTATAATAATACTGTAAAGTAAATACTAATTATATTTGGTTTTTATACATGGTAAAGTAAATACTGGTTATAGTTAATATAAGCCTTAATATAAGGCTTGTATTAACTAGAGTCAGTATTTACTTTACCATGTATAAACACTAAGTATAATTATAATAAGGATACAATTAGGACATATAAGTTATGGACTTTTATAATAAGGATATATAAGTTTCATTTATTGTGACACAAATTGTATTTAAACTTTAAATTACACAATAAATTAAGCTATTGTCCTAATAATAGCCACGTATTAACACGATATTATAAATAAGAGCCGTGGCTCTTATTAGGTTAAATGAGTGGCTATTATTGAGACCTATTTGAAATCTGAGAGTTTATGTTATATTGATGCTTTAACCTATCGTATATTGACGAACAAAACAGCTTACATAATAATATTAAAGTACACAACAGATCGAAATAAACCAAAAAAGCCGTACCTAAAAGAGTATTGCGTTAAATTTTTCTCAAACTTGCATGAAAAAAACAAAAATTACTATTTACGGCATAAAATATTCACTAACATTGAGAATTAACTCACATTGAGAAAAATAAGATTTCCTTTAAGTCAAGACTAAAAAATTTTTTTATAAAAGTTAAATTAAATCATAAATATATTAAATAAACAAAAAATATAATCAACAACTAGATAAATGTTCCGCCAAATAAATAAATGCAATCAAAGCGAACCCTTAATAAGACCCGGCCATTATTAGATCACTTTGCCCTATAGTTCAATTATTTATTTGAAAACAAAACTTTTGTAAAAAAATTCTTTAAAAATTTTTGTAAAATTTTAAGTAAAAAGTTTTTTTAAAAAAATTGTAAAAAAAATGAATTTGTTCTAAAATCTCCATAACATGATGCTTTCAAAAATATATAGTACTTTATACTTATTCGTAAAAAGTTTTATAGAAAATAACTTTTAAAGTTATGAAGCAAATAAGCTTAAATAAAAAATTTATAAAAATATGAAACGGTAGGGCTTTAATGATCTTTTTACAAAAAAAATTGATAAAATTTCTACATTATAGTAAAGATTGACTATTAAACTATTAAAAAATATAAAACATTTATGGTATGATTTTGTAGTACTATTTTCCACTGTGCGCCGGTGCTTAGTTATAAGCATATTTTAGTCTTTTTTTCTTAACGGAAAAATTAATTGGAACTTATGTTTTAAAATCTAAAAATATTTTTTAAACTTCTTTTCAACATTATTTTATAAACATTGTGTATGAATAACTAATAGTTATTCATACACAATGTTTATTGTGTATGAATAACTATTAGTTATTCATACACAATAAACATAATATTGCTAAATATTATGTTTAATATTGCTAAGTAACATGCAGCAAAATTATATTTAACAAATGTAATACACTAGTATTATATAAAAAAGTATTTTTATGTTCCTAATATTAAAATGTTTTTAAAGCGAAAAGGTATTCGGTTAGGTTTTAAAAAATTTACTCTTAGTTTTCCCAAAATTATGAGTACAATTTTTTCAAAATATGAAAAAAGTAAAGTAATTCTAGTATATACTTCAATTATTTTTCTTAAATATGAGATATTAAAAAACTTAATTATTTTTCTGACTTATACGTTTTTGTTTTTTTTTTTGTCAAAGAAAATACTTTTTCATGCCAACACTGTAAGAGTTTCATCCTAAATATAGATAGAGCAGCTGTGGCGCAGTGGTAAAGTACTTATCTCAAAGACAAAGGATCCGTGATTCAAACCCCTCCTTTAAACAAGTTTTTTGACATTGGTTAGGAAAGAGGCATCCGCGGTGCTCTGCGATAAGACCGTTAAGACTTCTTGTAACACCTAAATAAAATTAAAAAAAAAAAAAAAAAAGATAGGGTGACAATATAATATTAACTCAACATTTTAAAATCCTGTTAATGTAGTATGCATCATTACTAGAATAGAGAGTAAAGGATACCGTAAAAGATAAAGAATAATTTTGACTTTTTTGTTCTCAACGTGAACAAATTTTCCGGCAATTTGTTCATCAATAAAAAATTAAAATTTTGTAACTTTTTTGCCACTAATTTCAGTGATATTCTAAAAAATAATTTTAGAAAAAATTGGACAATTTTCAAATATATTAAAATGTTTAATTTACTTTAGTAAAATATAATGTCAATCAATAGGAGGTATGTAAATATACTCCTTTGCTTTTCCTCAAGACTTTATTTTAAGGTTTAGACAAAAATAACACAGCACAATGTTATTTTTAAAATACAAATGTAATTTTAATGTAATAAGCTTTATAAATTGCAATTTGAAACTGATTGACATGCCTGAATATGTAGCTTTTTTAATAAAAAAATATTTATGTAAATAAATATGAAGTAATGTTAAATTAACCTAATATAGTTTACAATAAAGCATTTTTTCTTACCCCAAAATTGTAATATATATAGCCTAAGTTTAAAAGTTGTATTGACATTGTAATGTAAAATATGTGTATTTTAAAAAAAAGTATCATTGTCTTTTTTGTCTGTAATCTTTTGAAAAATAGTAAATATTTATTTTACTTCATTAGTGACGAAATCTAGAATAAATCAATTAAATGGGCAAACATAAGAACAAATTTAAGTTTCGGTTTAATTTTAAGTGGACATAACAAACATCATAAAAGTTGTCGTAACCATTGTTTAATAAAAGATTAAACTTTCCATTTCTATTATATTTTAACTTGATTATTTATTTTTAATAAGGTTAATGTTGCTGTTGCTGTTGTTACAACAACTGTAAAAGAGTTTATTTTTAATTTTTAATTGGTTCGATTAGTCGAACAAAATAAAAAGCAATTTTGGTTAAATAAACTAAAAACCAATTCAAGTATATACAAACTAAAAACTTGAAAAGGAATAAACAGTTGGCTAAAGAGTTGACTACAAACTGTGCGCAATGAATGGTCGTGTATATCTATATATTTCTAAGAACTTAAAATGCATAAGACAGTTCCCGTTAGCTTATTTCGGACTAATACTTCATATTATTGACATTGCGGGTGATTATTATGTTGCCACACAGTACATACTTTCCAAAAGGAATGTAAAAATGTACTTAGTTTACGGAATATTAACTATCTTTTTCGCAATTTTTCCATCGTTTGTGAGTACTTTAAAAGTAATTTTTTTTGGACGATCAAACAGCATATATATGTTTCACAAACCAAAATACTGTTGGCTTTTCTATTTAATTTTTCAAGGACGACTTGTGCTACTCATTACCAATATAAATTACTTAAAAGCAGCACATAGTTCTTCGCCTAAACTACAAAAAGAAGAAAAACCCACTTCAAAATGTGCCTCGTTTCAAGAATGCCCAACTCCATCTAGTAAAAATGAAGATGAAAAAAATCAAGAATATGAAAAGTTAGCTGATCTTGTAAAAAATCTGGCACTAACTGAATCTTTTATTGGAAACCTCCCACAATTAATAATTCAACTTTATGTAACAACCGCTGTTCAACATTTCACGACTATAGCGCAATTTTTGTTAATCTTCGTTCAAATGGGAAGTGCAACAATTGCATACTCTTTTCGGTTTAAATGTAAAGTAATTACAAAAGCGATATTATTCTTTTTAGCGTTTTTGTTTTACTTCACAAGAATTGTTACTTTGGTTGTTTGTGCAAATGCTTGGGAATACTTGCCGATCCTTGTTTTGCTCCTGCATTGGTTGGCAGTTTTGTCTGCACTGCATTGTATAAATTTGTGGTGTTGTGAGATGTATGGAGGGGAACAAATACATAACATACCATTGTACTTTTTATTTATTGAATTTTTTATTTTTACTTATTGCATAAAAGTTATTCAAAATGTGGTAAAAGTTTTTTTTGTAAATTAATTTAATTTCAAATTTAGATGTCAGAGATTTCTACATCGCTGGCATAACGCATGGATTCCAACGGGTACAGGCTTTACTTTATGTTTTGCTGCATTGATGGCAATTGTAAACGCTTTTCTGAACTATATTTGTCCAATTTTTACTCAAGATATTGATCAAGTTGTTGATTATTCTTTCTTCAAAAATGACAAGGTAATGTTCGTAACACTTAATTATTGGAGTGCAGGAATGATATCAAACCTATGGATAATTGTTGGGGTTCCACATGTATTATATCTATTGATTCTCGCCGTGGGCAGAATATTCAAACTGGAATTTTACTTGTTAATTGATAATGACGAGTATTCAATATTTGAGACTAAATCTTATTGAGACTTATAAAGAGGTTAAAGGTTTTAAAATGTTTTAAATACTAAATGTTTCTGATTTGTTAAGACTTAATTGTGAAATAATTGTACATTTATATATATATATATATATATATATATATATATATATATATATATATATATATATATATATATATATATATATATATATATATATATATATATATATATATATATATATATATATATATATGTATATATATATATATATATATATATATATATATATATATATATATATATATATATATATATACAGATATGTGTGTTGTATTAAAATCATGTGTGTTATATTTAGAAACTATATTTAACAGACTTAAATTTTTTAAGAATTATATTTGAAAATTAATTACCTATTAATTTGTCTTTTTAAAAATAACAAAACAGACCAAGAGTAAAACACTGTTTGTGGAAAAAAAATTGTATAAAGCTGAAACTTTGCTTAGTGATTCCCTAAAGTATATAATAGGGTGGAGCGAATTTTAAAATGTCAAAAAATTTAAATTTATCAAAAAATATTTTTTTACTTTCACTTATGATATACCATTTTAAATCATTTTTTATGCGGAACAACTTTTTAAATGACACTAAGGTCTTTAAATGATCAATTGACTAGTTATTTAACAAATAAGTACTATACATTCAAATAATAATTAACTATTAATAAGTAATTAAAATTGGTTTGAAATTTGATTTGCCTGAGCTGTGAATCGGTGTCTTTTGGTGAAAAAAGAACCTTCCTTTTCTTTTTTTTAATTTAAATGAGTTTTAGAGGTTCCTTTTTGGATTCTAAATTTATGACGAATCCTAATATTGTTGAAATTTTGGTCCTCAAAATAAACAAAATAATATGCTGATTTGGATTATAATATTTGTTTTAATTCAAAACTTTAGAGTAAAAAATTATGTCGTTTTTTTCATTTAAAAAACCCCGTCTTCATCAAAACGGGGGTTTTAAGGTATATTTTTGCAAATTTTACTAAAAAATTTTTTTTGTAAAATTATTATTGATAAAACAAGCATTTTTTTTTTGCTTTTCTTTGAGTCCAAGGTTGATATTGTTTAGAAAAAAAAATAATTCAAAAATATTAGGATCCCCCAAGGATTTAGAATCCAAAAAGAAATTTCAATATCTCATCAAAATCAAAAAATATTTTTTTACTTTTACCTATGATATACCATTTTAAAGCATTTTTTATGCGGAATAACTTTTTAAATGATACTAAGGTCTTTAAATGATCAGTTGACTAGTTATTTAACAAACAAATACTATACATTCAAATAATAAATAATTATTAATAAGTAATTAAAAATGGTTTGAAAACCTAGCCTATAAAAATAACAACATGTTGAAAATTTTGAAAGTTGATTTTAATAAAAATTTGCATTTTAATTGATCTTTCAGAAATTTTCAATCTTAAACTTTTAATTGAGTCTTTCGCTTTTTTTTCTGATGTGCCACAGTTGTGTGTATAAAATATATGCAAATTGTTAAGATCTAATCACCGCATTTACCAATTTTTTTGAAAGTAAGCATTCTCAAAAATTATTTATCATTATTGTTTCTGTGCTTGAAATCCTATTTCCAATGCTAAGAATGCTAAGAAATATTGAAAGTAATTTATTATAAGTGAAACTATTTTAATTAATAATTTATTTATTTATTTTACTTTGTGATGTTATATTTTATTTTTATAAAATAAAATATAACATCACAAATTATAGATTTGATATCCCTACAATTTTATAAATTGTAGGGATATTAAATCTATTTTAAGTTTGTATAAACTTTATTTGATAGATTTATTTGATTGAAGACTGAGCAATAATTTTGAAAAGCATTCGGCTCACAATTTTATTAGATTCTGTTGTTTTATTATGATTTAATTTAGAAATGGCATTTATGCCATGTTCAATTTGCGGAAGGGATAAAGGGCAAATTAACTTGGTCGGTGAAAAAGGGTTGGGAACCTTATACAGAGCATCTTTAACAAAGAAGGAAATAAATCCAACTCAAATATTTAAAGACCACCGAGATAAATAAAATCCAGTAAACATCCATCATAAATGTCAACGAAGGCTCACTGACTTTCGAAAAAAACCTGTTTGGCCAGAACCTTAGGGATAACGTTCATCAATTCAAACTGCTTTTCTCTCGAAAGTTTGTTGTTTTATTTGCTCCAAACAAATTATGCAACATAAAGAAAAGTTCCACCGAGTGCAAACGCTACCATTACACAGCACTATTATGGAGCGTGCAAAAGCAAGGAATGATGTATGGGGCGGAGCAGTACTTACAAGGTTGGAAACATGGATTACTTCAGGCTGAACAAAGCAGGGAAAAGTAGTAAGAGAAGATCATTAGATCCTATCATGACCGATGCATTTGAAAACATTTGCAGTTGGCTCGAAAACGCAGCCGGTAGTGAAATATATTCTATTAGACAATTATATGATAAAATGATTGAAGATAATAATGGTGTTGTACATTGTCTCTAAACGTTTCGATCAAAACTAAAAGTAAGGTATGAAGCGCTGGCTATAAGGGCGAACTGGTTTTGTTTAAAATTATGGGGGACTATATAATAAGGAAATTTATAGAAAATGGCACAGCAACAAGAGATAGTGTTGTGAAAGCAGCAGCTAAAATAGTAAAGTAAGAGATAAGGTTAATGGAATACAGTAAAGATTTTTACCCCAATATTGATGATATCATGGATGGAGTAAAGTGGGTTCCTGAATCATTAAAAACTTTTATGATGTTACTGATTCCTTCCAGTCAGAAGCTGCTGAGTTTAAGCGAATGTGTCATACAAGCTTCACGACCAAAAAGTGTTTATTCACCAATTCTATTCGGAGTTGCTGTCAATATTGATAAATCTACTGGATGTAAACAGGTTATTAAACATTTCTCGCGACTTCGTTTACTATCACTCCAGATGAATTGTACCGCTTTAAACAATCAGCAATTGAAGAGATGAGCAGGAACGAAATCAAAGAAATAAGTAATAGATGTCTACTTATGATCTTTTGTGGCATGTGAGTTGGTTTTTGTCATCAAATCAAGAACCTGAAGAAATGCCTAATAAATTGGTCACATGTGATGATATAAAAAAAAATTGTCAAAAATTAGACCTGCTAAAGTTACAGTATTGTGCAAATTAATTGCATCAAGCTAAAAAAATAACAAAAAACTTACATATGAGCTGTTATTCAGCTCTTATTTTATTTCTTTAACATAATTAAACACATAGTAAACGTTCTAAAATCGTAACTTTGATTCAACATTCTGAAAAAAATCAAATAGAGATTGCAAAAATATACCATGCCAACCAGTCTACCGTCAGCCGAGTGTTCAAGCTGTTCAGAGAAACTGATGGTTTTTCTCCAAAGCGACTGGGCAGGTGTGGTCGAAAGAAAAAGACTACAACCAGGGATAATCGTTTCTACAACAGCAAAGTAAGAAGAACCCCAAGAAGACAAATGCTTAGCTTAGGAATGATCTTGAAAGTCATTGTGTCAGTGTCTGTTCAAGCACTGTTAGGCGGAGACTGCTTTGTGCTGGGCGACTAGAAAGCCTACCAAGAAGCAGCTTTTTACAAAAGCTATGAAGAGAAGAAGATTGGAATGGGTCAAGGAATACAAGCAATGGACCAAAGATGACTGAACAAAGTTATGATGTGAATTGTTCCAAATAATCTGTGTAGTAAGTCTTTTTCTTTGTCTGTCATTCTGCAGGCATTTTTGAGTATCACATTGGTAACCCTACAGTGTACTATGGTAAAAACATTTCTGACCTATTATCAAGCTTTATAATCACTTAATTTTTATTTGCAGGTGATATTCTCAGACAAGTCTCATTTTGAGGTTCAAGGTCAATGGTCACAGTTTGTTCGCAGATCAATCGGGGAACGAATACGTGAAGGTCACATTGAACAGCGTGTCAAACATCCGCATAAGAAAATGTTTTGGGGGTGTTTCACAGCGGCTGGGCCTGGAGCACTTAAGCTTGTGACTGGCATAATGCATTCTGATGGCTATGTCAATGTTCTGACGAGAAAATAAATACCAGAAATGACGAAGCAGTTCCCTGACGGTGACGGGGTGTTTCAGCAGGACCTCGAAAGGTGTCACACATCAAAGAAAGTCACCGAATTCCTCGAAGACAGCAGAATTGTTACTCTAAAATAGCCAGGCAATTCACTTGATGTTAATCCCATTGAGAATTTACGGGGTATAGTTAAGAAGAGACTTGCGACTGTACCAGTTAACCGAACCTGATTAAGGCTATTATGGAAATCTGGTTTCACGATGAAGAATTGAAGAAATTGTGTCAAACTCTGGTGTATTCTATGCCATAGCGTGTGCAAAGTATAGTTGCATCACGAGGAGGACATATTAAGTGTTAGATATGAACTGTTATTACCAAAACTGTAACAAACTAAGTTCTACAGTTGTTTTTAGCTTGATGCAATTAATTTGCATAATACTGTAAAATTGAAGGAAAACTCCAGAACATCTAAAATATGGTTGTTGTACATTGACTATATCAATATAAAAAAAGAATTCATTTTTGCAAAATAAATATAAAATTGGGAGCTGCATCTGGGTGTTCTATCAAAAATGCTCAATTTTTTTGCAGCTGCAGGACACATTCATTATGCAAAGAGTGCCCAATTATATTTGAAAGAAATGAAAAAGCTTACAAAAACAAATCCTTGTCTATATAGAGAATTTACAGGGGGTAACCATATTGTGTAACGAATAAAGAGAAATCGGAATGGCACCTCGACTGATCTTGCAATCGAAAAAACCATGATGCAATTTTAAAGTCAATGGGTGGATTGACTGGTGGCCGTAGATTCTCAGAACCTGTCCGTCACGTGTAGGCATTAAGCCTTTCACAGAACTTCAATACACAATGCTATAATTCAACTAACAGGTGTATAGGCAAACTCCAGTAAGCAACACAAAGAAATTAGAATGTTGAGAAGATAACAAGATTACAAAAATTGTAAAAAGTTTTATGAATGGTTAGTAGATCGAAATCTGTTCTGTATTTCT